TGCAATTCATAAGCTTGCTTGTTTTTTTATGTTTTGGGTTTTTTTGTTGAAATGGGGTCTTGCTATGTTGCCCAGGCTGGTCATGAAGTCCCGGCCTCAAGTGATCCTCCTGCCTTGGCCTCCCAAAGTGCTGGGATTACAGGCATGAGCTACCGAGCCCAGCTGAGTTGGGTGTTTTTTGATATAAAACTAAAGTTTTTTTTTTTTTTTTTTTTTTTTTTTAAAGATCTTAGAAATCCTGGTGATAGAAACCTGCTTATACCTTTTATGTGAAACCTCTAATGGACTGTCTTAGTTTCCTCAGTTTATTTCAAGTTCTTCATAGAGTTGTGTACATTGATTGGTGGAGTGAAAAATTATGTAGGCAAAGTCTCCACACTGTTTTATTAATGTGTTACTAAGTTTGTGAATTGCTTTGGAGCCCATTTGCTTAGTGGAACTATTGTATTTAATAGAAGATACAAATGAAAAACCAGTGATCACCCATTTTTACAGGGCAGGTGAAAGACAGAACATACCATACCTGTCAGAGTGATGAAGGAGTGACAGCATGAACTCCGCGTCAAAAGACGTATGGCAGGCAGAACTCTAAAGATGCCCTCCCACCTGCGTTCCCTAGTTATGCAGTCCAGCACTAATCAGGTGCAGTAAGTCCTCACTTAATGTTGAGGTAGGCAACCAGCAGGCCCTGCTCAATATGGAGTCATGAGACCCGAACCAGGGTCTCTGATAAAACAGGAGGCAGTGGAGAGACTGGCCAAGCCAAGCTAGAACCAAGATGGTGGTGAAAGTGGCCTCTGGTTATGCTCACTGCTCATTTTATGCAGTAATAATTCTTAGCATGCTAAAAGAAACTGCCACCAGTGCCATGACAGTTTACAAATGCCATGGCAACTCCCAGAAGTTACCCTGTATGGTTTAGAAAGGGGGAGACCCTCAGTTCCAGGGATTCCCCATCCCTTTCCCAGACATTTTATGAATAATCCTTTGTTTAACATAAATTTTTTAAAAAAGTATAAAATAAGACCCCAGAAACCTACAATGGGCTGCTCTGCCTGTGGTGTACCCTTCCTTCCGTTTCGTTACTTCAATAAACTTGGTTTGCTTTACTCTGTCAGCCCACTCTTGCTTTACTGTGGGAAGCCAAGAACCCACTTGGCCTTCTGGCCAGACCCCAGTTTTGAGGTCCACTTTCCTGTATCAATTGTCACCCTGTGACTTTAAGTGAAATGACATATACTGAAACCAATTTTTTTCTCATCGTTGTAATGAAACAATGTTGAACAAAACGATGTTATTCCAGGGCCTGCTGTTTTTTGTTGGTTTTGTTATATAATTTTTTCACTTAAGAGTCACAGTTTCCAAGAACCTCTATCTATGATGTTAAGTGATACTTACTATATAGTACTTTGAGGGACGTTTCAGATTTAATTAACTTTACTAATCAACTGACCTTCAAATAGGGTGATTAGCCAGGTGGGCCCAGTGTCCCTTCAAAGCAAAGTTCCCCTTTGTAGGAGGGCTGAGACTGGAGGTCAGCAAGAGAGTGTGGGAATAGCCCCTAGCCTGCCATTGCTGGCTCTGAAGATGAAGGGGGCCGTGAGCCAGGGACTGTGGGACTGAGAAACACCCCAGCTGAAAGCCAGTGAGGACATGGTGTCCTCGGTCCTGTCACCATGTGGAACTGCATGCTGCCAACCTGAATTGGCCTGCCTGGAAAGGAATCTATCTTCCCCGGGTTTCCAGAAGGAACGCGTTAGTCCGATGAAAGCAGTGTTGCGCTGCTGATCTGCAGAACTGTGGACTAGGGAGTTCGTGTTGCTGTTTCAACAGCAATAGGAAACATGCTACATGGATTCCAGTCCTGGGCTGTTGGATTTACTAATCCATGCTGTGACCGTGCCTGGGAACCTTGTCTTCCTGATCTGTGAAGTGTTTGGTCCCATGGTCTCTGCGTGCCTCGGAGCTGTTGAGGAAGGCCATACTGAGTGCTGTGCACGAAGGTACTTGGTAAATAAAAAATTACACAAATGTGTGAAAAAGGAAGATGCGAAAATTAGAGAACTGTGATGATCTCAGTATATTCCTTAGTCTCAGAACACCATTTGTTTTTATTCTCCCTTTTTGTTTTACTTATTTTGTTATTAAAGTTTCTTTATATCAAAGCTCCTTATAGAAATATTTAAAAGTACAGAAAAAGTTATGAAGGAGTGGGGGAAGACCGCTCTGGAGGCATTATTCACACTCAGGCATGTTTCTTTGTTGTCTGTGGTTTTTTTCTCTTTACATATATAGCTGAGAGTGTATCGTTTAAGCATTATGTATTCTCTTGCTTTATGCTTGACCTTGTATCATGAATGTGAGCATGATTTTTAATGGCATCATAATATTCCAACATGTAATTTACCCAATCATTTGTCTAATGTTGAACGTTAGCCTACTAATGGCTACTGTTTTCCAGTCTTTGTTTACAAATGATGCTGTAGACATGTTTTTATGGTAGCAGAATTTTTAGATTAAAAAAAAAATAGGCCGGGCGCGGTGGCTCACGCCTGTAATCCTAGCCCTCTGGGAGGCCGAGGCGGCGGATTGCTTGAGGTCAGGAGTTCGAAACCACCCTGAGCAAGAGCGAGACCCCGTCTGTACTATAAATAGAAATAAAATTAATTGGCCAACTAATATATATAGAAAAAAATTAGCCGGGCATGGTGGCGCATGCCTGTAGTCCCAGCTACTTGTTGGGAGGCGACGGCTGCCATGTGTTCGTAGGATTCCGCATCGTCACTGGTGATCGAACAAGCAGCAGTTTAAGAAGAGCTGTGGGCGATTAGCCCGACTTGCAGCTGGAATGGCATCTTGTGTGTGGGAAGCTTGGCCGGAGGAAGGAGAGGAGGGAGCTGTGAAATGAGTAACCGAAGGTAGACAGAGGAACCCTGGTGGCCTAACCGATAGGCCTAAGGCTGCAATTCAGAGCAGATTACGCGGGCAGCAGGGGTTTAGGTTGGGGTGAGTCCGTACTGGGTCAGGAAGTCCACACTGGTTCACTTTGCTTATCTATGTTTTCCCTGTGACTTAGTATTGACAGAGGTTACATTATTTGGGAAAACCAGGATGCTTGGCAAACTCCTTCCCCTTTTCTTCTCTTTTCAAATTTGCTATGAAAAGCATATACTTTATTTCTTTTGTCAATGTTGTTTCTTATATTGCAACCCAAATAGGCTTTTAAAAGTGAAGTCATAAACTAGTCAGCCCTACAGATCAAGCGCAACAGATGGGCGTGGCCCCGGCACTGTGGCCCAGGTTTGGAATGGCCGCTGTGGATGGGGGAGCTCATTTCTGTACCTGGTCTCCGAAGACACTTCCCTCCTCAGAATCTGAAGCAGATCCCTCCTGCCTTCCGTCCCACCCTCCCAGCCTGGCCGTGTCAGAGTCTCAACCACTCTCGTCAGCAGGCTCCATTCCTGGACCTGGGCTCCAGCTACGCTCCCTGGCCACCTTCAATCCCGAGTCAGGCTCAGCGTTGCAACTGCCATCCTAAACCTGTGCAGCTGAACAGAGGAAGCACACAACTGGAGGTGCACCGGGACGACTACATGTTCATGGCTCCGACCCTCTGTGCCTCAGTCACCGCAAGCAGGAAGAACTTCAACTCATTCGAGTGAAGTTTGGAAATCATCTTATGTTTTCAGGAATATCAGGACTGGCGCGGCCTATCTCGAGACACCGCACAGCTTTCCTGTTTTTTTTAGGGTTCCTCCAGGGTCACCAGCAGCAGGCCAGTGATTTGATCTGCACTTTCTCTCAGCTCCTGCTTGTTCCCTCACCAGTGGGAGCTGGTCCACGGGAAATGTGAGTGGCAGGTAGAGCAGGGGCTCCTGAGAGGCAGGGAGCCTCTGTGCTTCCTTAGATCCACAAGCAGGAGAGTCAAACTATCAGAGTTCTAATGATTTGTGGTGTTTTGTTTTTTTTTTTTTGAGACAGAGTCTCGCTTGTTCCCAGGCTAGAGTGAGTGCCGTGGCGTCAGCTAGCTCACAACCTCAAACTCTGGGCTCAAGCAATCCTCCTGCCTCAGCCTCCCGAGTAGTGGACTACAGGCACGCGCCCATGCCCTAATTTTATATATATGTATAGTTGCAATTAATTTCTTTCTATTTATAAAACAGG